TTCCTGTATCACATTCTTCAACCCTAGAAGTTCCATGTGGTTCTTGTTTAAGGTATCTATTTCTTCTTTCAAATCATGAAAGGACTTCTTCATCTCCTGGAGCTCTTTGTCTCTTTTCTCTTCCATCTCAGTTAGTTTGGACACTACAAAATTCTGAATTCCTTATGAGACAAGTCTACGACATCCATTGTAATGACTGTGGGTGATGTAGGCTTGATAATTTCCCTTGGAGGAGAGGTCTTTTGTTGTTTGCTCATACTTCTTGAGCCTCTGAGATTGTTCCTAGTCATCAGGTGATCTATATGTTGCTTCCTAACTTATTTAAGGTATCTCTTAGTGTTAAAGATGTACAGGATTAGAAAGTTGATGATTTCTTTTATGGTTGACCTACCTGTTGCTCACCAGTACCATGTACTGTTGTCATGGTCCTGGGTGACCCAAAGTCCTCCCTGTTTCTAAGCAGTGATGAGCCTCCAACTGACCTAATAAGCAACACCTCACGAGCAAAGAAAACCAAAACAAAATAAAAACTACATTGCATGCTGCATGCTATTCAAAACACTAAAATTCAGAGAGTCCAAAGGCAAGTGGGGAAAGGGCAGAGGATGAGTGACGGGTCCTAGGTGTAAGGGCCTGCAGCTGCAGGCAGTCGGGTGTCCAGAACTGCTGGCCTGCTCTATCCAGTTTGCAGTTGGGGTGGGGGGTGAGGTGCGAGTAGTTTGTAATGAAAAATATACTGATAGAAAAGTGTTTAAGAATTTTACTAGAGTGCATGTGCACCCACTGGAGAGAGATAGAGAGAGAAAGAGAGAGGGAAAGCAAGAAAACACCCCTCATGGAGAACAGTCCCACCTCAATCACTTTTCCTCCATTTCTGACTCCTGGAATTTTGGGCATACATGGACATGTGCCCAGGTCTGAGTCTTGAGCCTTGCAGTTGGCCATGGAACATCCAGCCACCTCATTCACCACACCACTGCCTGGCTCCACTGGATGAAATTAACAGCAGATTTGACATTACAGGGAAAAGGATTAATAAACTTCAAGATGTAAAAATAAATAATTCCGGGGCCAGAAGGTGGGGTGGTGGTTAAAGCACTGGATTCCCACATGGCTGACAATGGTTCGAGTCCCAGATCCAATGGTTTGAAAATCACATTGGGTAAGTGTGCATGCAAGCTCAAAGTCCCAGGTGGAGGATGGAAGAGAAGAGATTGTGGTGTGGCCATCCCCTCTGGAGAGTGATTTCTTACTTTCCCTCTCTTTGTCTCTCTGTGTCTCTTCAATGAACACACATAACTTATGGCTAAAGCCTAAACATAAATAAATAAAATAAATAATTCATAATGAAACACAGAGAAAAAAGGTTATGGTGAGCTATGGAATAACTTTAAATAACTTAATATGTATTACAACCACAAGAGCAAATTAAAAAAATTAAATGTATTCAAAGAATTGTTATTCATACCAAAATAATTGCAATATATGTAAAATTATGTATATAAGTAAATTAGAACTTAAAAGAATAGGTAAGGATAAGAATAGGACAAAAGAATAAATATAATTATAAGGTTTCATAATGTATGCAGTTTCTTGAAGGTATATTTTGTCAGAGTAGAGATGTATACAGCAAAACCGAGAGAAGCCTTAAAATAACACTGAAAGCAGAGTGACAGCTAAAAAACCAGTGCAACAAAACAGAATTATAAAAATGCTAAACTAGCCCACCCAGAAGTCATGAAATATAGAAAAATAAACAAACAAAAAATCGGAGTATTGGAAAGACAAAAGCAAGATGATGGACATAAACATAACCAGAGCAACAATTACGTCTAATCTAAACCATCTAAATGCCTCAGTTAAAAAACACATAGATTGTGATATTAAAATGCAAAGAGAACAGGTATATGCTGCCTACCAGAATTGCATTACAAGTAGAATGAATCAGAGGGTAAAAAGTAACAGGATGTTAAAGGATTTACCATGCTAACACCAACCAAGAGATAACTAGAGGAGCTACATTAATATCCAAGTAAAGTTCAGAGCAGAGAACATCGTCTAAGGTGAAGAAAGTCAGACCCTAATTCACCCTATCTGTACAAGCAAAAGGGAAACTATATGATAATATTTATATATGACCTGAAAATGTAATGGGGTTCAATATTTATTCCTCCTAAGTCTGTTAACATGTGCTAAATAATAGGGAACCTTCACCTATAGAGGGAGTGTGTGAAACCCATGGTTAATAGAAGCATCCTATTGCAGGTAAACTGTGATACATCAAAAATACATATTATAATTTCTCCACCAAACACTAAAAACAGCACAAAGAAGGGGAAACAATCTTTTCAACAAATGGTGCAGAAAAACTGCATATTGATAGTGTATCTTAATCATTATTTCACTTTGTAAATCAAGGGTGGCCCAAATCTGGCTTCTGCCTGTTTATATCTTACATTTTCAAATGGTTGAAGAAAAGAATACAATAGTGTTTTGTGACATCTAAAGTTTATACAGAATTCAAATTTCTATATTCATAAATGAGTTTTATTAGAACACAAACTTTCTTATTTATTTAGATACTATAGTACTGTGGTTGCTTTAGAACCACAGTGGGGTTGAATAGCTAGGACAGAGAAGGCATGATGCAGAAAGCCTAAAATACTATATGACCTTTTACAAAAAAATATTTTCTGACCCTTGCCATATACAAGAATTTATATGAGATGTTAAAATTCCCCAATACTTGAGGCCAGTTAAGGTGCTGGACTCCCACATGGCCAAATGCGGTTCAAGTCTTGAACCTGGCAGCTTGAAAATCACACTGAGCACACATGGATGCATGCCCAACATACCAGGAGGAGAGTGGAGAAGGGATTGTAGTGTGGCCAGTCCCCTGGGGGGGGGTAATTTCTCACTTTCCATTTCTCTGTCTCTCTCTGGCTAGTGTACGTGCCCTATGGCAAAAACCTTTAAAAAAAAAAGAAGCCCTCAGTGATTTAAAAATTAGAATTCTAAAGTTTCTAGAAGAAAACAGTAGATCTCTTCATGAATGTAAGCATATTTTAAAAGAAGACTAAAATATTTTAACCATAAAAAAGTATTTAAATTTAAGAAATGAATGTTTGAATTCATAGACAATTCTTACAAATAAATCATAACTGGAGACAAATAATTCCATTAAAACAAGAAGAGTTGAACTTGGTTTTTAACAAAAGTATATAAATCAGAAGACTGCAAACATTAATTTAAAAAGGGATTTAAGTAGTTTGTTTTTATGCAGAAAAATTTTAAAATCAATAGTTTTTTCATACTACCATGAACTTTTTGAGTTTTTTTTTCCACATAAGCAGACAGTTTTTTTTTTTTTTTCATGAGACTAATGGGTTCATTTCCAACGGAGAAAAGTTATCTTTATAAAACTCCATTGTCAGAAATTATGTTTGGTTGAAAATTACTTTCCCATTCCCAGCCCAATTCCTAGGGCAGCTAGAATCTGATGATTGGCTGGGACCTTCACCACTAAGTGAAGAGACTTAAATTTTCATTCTGCCTTTCAGAGAAATGGCTGTTTCATGCCTACCTCACCACCAAAATCGAAAGATGAATTTGAGGCTGAAAACACAAATCAGCCAGTGCTGTTCTGTGCCCTGGAAGACCCTGACACCTTCTTTGGGACAGCCTCAGTATAGCTACCTCTGGGTGCCGGCACAACTGGCCATGTGAGGGCACTGTGGGTCCATGGAGCAACCCACTGATAGTGTCTAAGACAGGGAGGCACAGGGACACAGTCTTGGCTTGGCTCCTGCACCAGGGACATCACCTGATGAGAGAGAGGCAGTGGTGGCACAGGAGGGGGAAATCATGGTCTTTTCATGTCATCTGATAAGCATGTGTGTTTGACAGGCAAAGGACCATGAACTGCAGCCTGCATGGGCAGAGGCTTCTCTGGAGTCTACATTTGATGAAGACTGGGAAGGTCTTCCATGAAGCCACTTGGATAACCTGAGCCAAGAGTACACAAAAGGACACCTGCCACAGAGAAAACCTAGGGAAGCTGTGGGGGACAATGTCTGCCCCAAACTTGCCCTGCCTACCTCAGCATGGTTAGCTCCCCTTCCTGGAGGAGGTGGGACAGAGTAAGGGAAGGCCTGGCCCACTGAGCCTGTCCAGGGCTGCAGGTGCCTACAGCAGCCTACAGAGACAGTCATACCACAACAGTGACATTACAGGCCAATCCTCCAGAAAAGGAAGGCGTTAAACTCCTGCTCTCTCACCCCAGGAACCCAGCACCCTGAGCAGGGACATGCCTGCCCCTGTCCTGCCTGACTCTGCCTGGGGCACCAGGATCCTCTGCTGGGCTGCCCTTTGTCTCCTGGGAGCAGGTGAGTCCTGAGCACAGAGGCGGTATCCCTGAATTCACAGGCGTTGGTTGTTGCTGAATATCAATTTCCTCTGGGTTGAGGGTTCAACTTCTGTGCGTTTCCTTCACAGGTTCAGCGGATGTTGGAGTCACCCAGACCCCAAGATACCTCATCACAGAAAAGAGGGGAGAGGCCACTCTCAAATGCTATCCTGTCCCAGGCCATGCCACTGTGTACTGGTACAAGCAGGCTCCAGACCAGGGCCTCCAGTTCCTCATTTCATATTATGAGAAGACAGAGAACGAGAAAGGCATCATCCCTGATCGATTCTCAGCTAAGCAGTTCAGTGACTACCATTCTGAAATGAACATGAGCTCCTTGGAGCTGGGGGACTCCGCCTCATACCTCTGTGCCAGCAGTGTAGACACAGCCCTGCAGAGCCACTGGCTTTCTGTACCTAAACCTTCCTGTCCCAGCTGAGGATGTGGTAGGGATGTGGCACTGCCACATAGCCTTCACAAGCCCAGGGATGCTAATTGTTTCCTAACACTCTCTGCCATGCTCAGCTCAGCCAGAGCACAACAGAACAGGGCGTCTCCAAATCCACCGGACATGCCACATCTCGGCCAGCACTTGCTAATTCCTAGCAAATGGTAGTAGCTTCTCCTCTGTGCTCAAGGGTACACACAAATCATGTGATTTAATACAAGGATAGACATTATTCAATCTGCTTTATAGATGAAGAAGATTTCAGTGTATTGTTTTACATATTGGAAGCATATCTCATTGGTTTATCTAATATTTTGTTTTAATAGCATCGGAGACAGGATCCAACCCTATATTTCCATCACTTCAAAAGCAAATTTATCAAAAGTTCCATGGATTTCTTTGTCCTTGTCACTAAGACGTAGTAGAGCACTGTCTTCTATCTCATGACCACCTATGCAGCAGTGGAGTCACATTATTGCATGTCCCCATATGGCTTATTGCTTTCCAACTGGCAGGACATAGAGCCTCAAACCAGAATTGACCTATCTTAATTCCATGGAGAACAGTGTCATGCAATTCTGCTAGTACAGACCCTGAATCACTCAGGGGATTCCTGGCACGTCGAAGACTCAGGTAAGAGAATAGAAACCTAGGAATTATAATCCAGGGAATTAATGGAGTTAACCCAAGGACTGAGTTCTTATTAAACATTACAAGTTCTGGAAAAGGGGAGGGGGTCTTGGAATTCTGAAACTGCTTTTCAGGTCCACAGCTAGAGATCAGAGAATCTGAATGTGCTGCTTTTGCCTATGTCAAGAAATGCCAAAAACCGCTGAGAGTCAGAGTGATCCTGCCTTAGCCAAGTGGGTGGGTCACAGGAGAGTGTGGTGAGGCCATGGCACACACACACGTGCCACTCTTGTTTTTAAGAAGGGTAAAGTTTGGCAATAAAAATTGTCTCCAATTATTTATACACAAGTAACTCCATTCTCTGGCAGGCAATGATGACTTACTCGAAAGAGCTGAAGGGGAACAGTTTAATCACAGATATTCAGAGGATTAAGGAAGCGAAGAGCAGCTGAAAGACTAGGCTTGAAGGGACCAGGCCACAGTCAATAAAATCCTGAACCGAAGAGAGCGGGAGGCAGGAGCTTGTGGGAGGTGTGGAGAGAGGTGGGTCAATGGGATACACTCAATCAAACTAGAAGGGTGGGAGGTAGAAAGGGGGAGGCCCAATTGCTCTGGACTCTCTTCACTAACCCTCATTCTGGTGCGTCCCACTAGAGACCCACCTGAAAGCTTGGATAACAGCCTCTGTGGATGTCAGGCTCCTGGGGCATAGCACAAGGCAGGGAGGCCTGGGAGTGGGCTGGGTGGAGCGCCGGGAACGCTAGAATAACCAGTGCAGCACTAGTTATGAGGTGATCTTCTGTAGGTGCTTGCGCATGTTTACTGATGAACACGGACTAATTCTACTTCTTTTGTGTGAGCTTACAAAGCAACTTCCTGATTTGTTTATTTTATTTAGGCCATCTCCTAAAGTATACTTTTTCTATTAATGTCTTCAAAACCCAATGAAAGACAATGCTTTCACCACATTTTGCAGGCGAAAAAAGAACTCTTGAAAGTTTAGATGATTTGCTACAAATAGTATAGGCAGCAAAGAGGGAACATTGACCCCAATGTCTCCCTTTCAGAGACAATGACTCTGACACCAGTCATTTCCACAGCACCTTTCACCTGGGAGGCTTGGGGCTGAAGGGAAAAGAGCTCCCTGTCCAGAGAACAGGAGACGGTTGGTTCACATTCTGACACTGGGCTTGGGACTTTAAAGATGTGTGGCTGAGTTTTTTTCATTTGTAAAATGAGCTCAGCAATAGGTCTTTTGTGGAGATTTCATCGACGAGAATGAAGCAATGAATCTAACACACAGTGGGAGGTTCCTGAAATTTTAGTTCCTCATTAACTCTCAGACATATGTTACTTACTCTGTGCAGTTCTGGGGTCAAAGGCCCAAACATGTGCTTGAGTCCATGTGTTTTAGACACAGCATCATTTGAAATACAAATACAGTAGTCTCATAATTCATTATGTGATAATAACGTGAAGAGTTACCTCTTAAGGGGTAGGAAAATGTTCCCATGGCAGCACTTCCTGTTTGAGACTAAATCTGATGTGTAAGAAACGGTGGAACCTGCAGAAGGCTGTAGCTTCAGAGCCATTGGCAGTCACCCACGAGAGCAGGGAGGAGGTGACAGTGTGATTTGAAAAGAGATCACAAAGCAGCATCTAGTGCCTCCTGTCACCTCCGCGTGGCCCACGTCTGATTTCAGCCTCAGCTGCAGTGCACTTGTGCACAGGGTCACACTCACCCCATGCTGATCCTGCTGCCTCAAACACACACAGGGGTCTTGCTGCTTTCCCCCTGGGGTCTTCTGTGATAGCCTACGTGCCCACTTGGCCTGAACACGAAGACAGTCACTGAGAGCCCACGCTTTATATTCCCAGAAAGTGCACAGGACACAGAAGGCTCTGTCCTGGACTTGAAATGGGCATCCGACTCTATTTCTTTGTGATCGTTTGTCTCCTATGGGCAGGTGAGAACTGGTTACAGGGGAACTTATTTCCCTGGATTTCTTTTTATTTATTTATTTATTTTGCTTTTCCCCCTGGACTTCTGAAAACCTCTATACGAGCCTTTCTGTGGAGGGGGACATCATTAGATTGTGTCACTCTCTATTCCAGGACCCATGGATGCTAGAATCACCCAGAGCCCAAGGTACAAGGTCACAGTGAAGGGACAGAATGTGACTCTGAGGTGCCACCAGAATGACAACCATAACGCCATGTACTGGTATCGACAGGACCTGGGACATGGGCTGAGGCTGATCCATTACTCAGTTGCTGCTTTGAGCACTGCCGAAGGAGACATCCCAGATGGGTACAGAGTCTCCAGATCAAACACAGAGGATTTCCCCCTCATCCTGGAGTCGCCTACCCCCTCGCAGACATCTGTGTACTTCTGTGCTAGCAGTAACTCCACAGCATTGCACAGCTGCCTCTTCCCTGCACACAAAGTGTCATTGGAAAGTCCCCAGTTTCTCTGTGCTCATGAGGCCTGGCTCCATCCAGGCAAGTCTGGCCCACATGGGAATCACTGAGTCATAGCTAAACTGGGTGTCTGAAGCATGGACGATATGACTGAGCACTGAGGTCCGTTCCTTTGCCACTTACTCCTGAGTGGAGGTCACCCAGCACACTGAGCTTTCTCATCCCCCTTCTCAAACTCTCTCAGATCGTGTAAGGGAAAAAAATGCATCGTCAGCTGAGAGTTATAATGACTCAATAATAATTAATTAAGAAGTAAGAAAAAGATATTTTCTTTCCTATTTTATAAGGAGATACTTGACAGATACTTATTTTTCAAAAACAAGTTAGATTACTGTTGAGAATGCTAATACTATCAGTAGATCATACTTTATTTAGAACAATCTTGCGAACTGTGGGATCCACATTCTTTATCTCAAACAGTCCAAGTCCTGAACTGGAAAGCTTTCATTGCTGCCCTGACCCAGCCATGAACAATTGGCTCCTTTTTATTGAAGCTGTTGGTCTCCTGTGCTCAGTGAGTCCTGGAAATAGGTGCAAAAGCCATCCTGGGCTTGTCAAGTCCCAGCCACAGGCCTTTCCATTTAGACTCCATAAATCTCCTCTTTGCTTCTCTTGATTCTATGTCCTTTTGACTGGGATATGGTTTATCCATCAAGAGTAAATAAAGGTGTTTATTCCAGGTTTGAATGACTCACACCGAGATCTGACCTGTCCCCTCAAATCCACCACATTCTTCTCTCCCCTGTGTTCTCCAGTGCTTCCGCATTTTCCCTTTCCTGTAATCCCGCCTACTCTTCAACTCACACTCATCAACCTTCACTCATCTGGTCTCTGTTCCTGGCTGCCTTATTCCATGGGGGAACAGCCCTGCAATGTCCTGGATCATGGACCATTTGTCTCTTTATCACACTGCGAGTTCTCCCTGGCTTTCCTGCTCCGCCACACTCCAGTACCTCCCGTTATTTCCTTCCATGTGCTGGGTTGTTTGCCACTCTCAGATCAGTTTTTTTTTAAATGAACTATTATCTTCTATTTGTCCACACTGAGCATACATCCCCCACTTATTCTTGAATCTCCACTTCATTCCTTATATGAAAAAAACAATGTAAACACATTTATTCTTAATCATGAAAAGAAAAACTTAAATTTTACTAAGAGAATAAAGAAAATCTCTTTTAGCATTTGGAGAAGAATTATTTTTAGTGGAGACACAAAATGACACAAGCTATGAAGGACAATATACATGATTTTGAATGCATATAATTAAAAGGTAATTTCCAGAGTAAATTTGTGCCAGACAAATCAGGACTGCCCAGTAATTGGTATTCTGCTGATTGGCCTGAGGGCTTGTCCTCCACTCTGAGGTTCCAGAACACAGAGCTGGGCCACTCGTCCCTATATCTCTGCTCCAGCAGCTTAGCCACAGTGGGGTACCGTCCCCTCCTTCCTGCTCACAAAGCTCATGTGTTCAGTTCTCCCCAGCGATCTCAGAAGCTCTGACCAAGGAGTTGCCCTGGTCTTCCCTCATCAAAGGGCAGAAATGCATTTGGGACTTCAGGTGCCCCTCTAACAACAGGAGGTCAGGAAATAACCTTTGCAATACTGGAATAGACAACACAGAGTAGTAATAACTTTGGCTTATAGATTTCTAGGATTCTTAATATTCAGTTCAAGATTCTACAACTGGGACTAAACATCGGAGCTTAGTCTCAGGAATAGTGATGAAGTAAACATTTTCTTAGAAGACTACAAATTCTCAGCAAATTTGTAATAAATTCCTATTACGGAATGTCAGTAGCTCAGACCTACACTATACCAAGGAATGGTCCAGCTGGAACAAAACAATGTGAAGGCCATTCGTAAGAATAAGCCAGAAAATACAGAATCCTTAGTAAGAATGGACTTCAATTTTCAAAATTAACTCTCACACACAGTATTGGACACTAACCTGTGTCTATCTAGTGATCTTTTATTTCTGCAATCTGTGTTTATTTCTCTTTTGTCTCAGTGTAACTTTTTCTAAAAATAGAAACTGAACTTTAGCTTAATTTCATAGAACCCCACCAGAATAACCGTTTTATTTGTTGTGTAGAATTCTTTGAGGTTTCAAAGGTTGTACCAATTTACATTCTCACAAAGAAGTACATGAGGTTTTTAGTTTTGGTTGACTCTCTCTTTCTCTGCAGGTTAGTTTTTTACTATTTTTTTCATTTTTTTTTCCTATAGGGAGTATGTGCTATCCAGAGTGAGACGCAGAGAGAAAAAGATAGAAAGAGAGAGGGAAAATGAGAAATCAATCCCTAGGTGGGTGTGGAGGCATGGATATGCCACCATCCCATCCCCTCAAGTCTCCTGTTAGCATATTTGGCATACAACACATGTGCCCAGCGTGATATTCATTCTGTTAGTGATGTCTTTTCATAAGCAACAAACATTCCATTTTTCCTCTTTTTTACTGGCATTTTTTCTTTTGTTGACCATTTTAGCAAATCTTTGCCTACTTCAGAATGATCACGTTTTCTTATGTTTCTTTCTAAAATGCTTCTATTTTCAACCCATCACACTTAGATCTGTAATAAAACTGGAAATAATTCTTTGTATGTAATATGACAATGGGTACAGTCATATTTTCCCACATAGTTATTGAAACCACATAGTTATTGAAATACGTAATACTAGTTATTAAAGGATAATGTTTCCTCACTATTTACGATTTCACTTTTGTTGAAAATCAGTTATTGAGCATGTAAAAGTTAGTTTTCTTGGATCTCTATTCTGTTAAATTGATATTTTAGTCATTTTTTTTTACTAATAATTCACTGTCTTACGTACTATGGTATTTTTTTTTTTAAGGTTTTTGCTATAGGGCACGTGTGCTTGCCAGAGAGACACAGAGACAGAAAGTGAGAAATCACCCCCAAGGGGGGATGGCCACGCTGCAATCCCTTCTCCTCTATTCTCCTCTCAGGATCTTGAGCACACATGCACATGTGCCTGGCGTGAGTTTAAGCCACCAGATTCAGGACTCAAACCACAGTCGACTACATGGGAGTCTAGTGACATAGACGTTACGCCAACTGCTGGTCCCTGTATTATGGTTTTATAAAAGTTCTCAATATCTGGTTGTCCCACTCTTCAAGGTTTGTTCCTTTTTATTATTTTTAAAGAGAAATTTTTTTTCTGCAGGGTGTGTGTACTTGGTGGAGACACAGAGAGAGGCAGAAAGAGAGAACTCACACCCACCCCAGAGGGGATGACCATGCCACATTCCCTACTACTCTCGTTCCTTCCTGGAATTTTGGACATGCATGCACATGCACCCGGCATGAGTTTCAAGCCACTGGGTCCAGGACTCGAACCCTGAGTGGCCATGTAGGTATTCAGTGCCTTAACCACTAAACCACAAGTTGCCTTCAGTTCGTTCCTTTTATCAAGACTTCTTGACCACTTTTGACGCTTTATTTTGTATATTTATGAAAGATTTTCTAAACTTCACAGAAACTGTATATAATGAAAAAAACATGGTTTTAAACTATTTTTTTTACCAAAAAAACTTAAATTTTAATTCCAGTTTTTCATAAACCTTTTGAAGTCTCATCTATTTTCTAATCTGTTTGCCAAATTTTTGACTTGTTTAGGCTCTACGTTTAAGGGAGGTCATGCAGTACTTTTTTTTTTTTTGTACCTCGCTTTTTTTCACTTGGTTAAGAAATTTGAGGTTCATTCATGCTGTTGCAAATGACAGAATTTTGTTTTTCCAAAGGCTGAATGGCATTTCATTGTGTACATACATTTTCTTTGTTCATTGATGGATGCTTGATTTGATTCCATATATAGGCTGCTGCAAACAATGTTGCAGTGAACACAGGAGCACAGACTCGTCCTCAAAATAGTCCCTGTGGATACATGCTCTGCAGTGGGACTGCTGTTGCAGAGGGTCATTGTGTTTCCGTTTTTTGAGAAATCTCTGTTCTCCATAAAGGCTGTACTAATTTACATAACCACCATCCGTGTGCCAAGGTACCCTTTGTCCACTTCCGAGCCAGTTCTGCTCTTGTTATCTTCCGTTATTTACGTTAGAAAGCATTCCACCAGGTATGACGTGATATCTCACTGGGATTTTATTATTAATTTCTTGGTGATGATTCTGAGAATTTTATATATATATATACCTGTTGGCCATCTATATGTCTTTTTTTAAATTTTTTTTTTGAGAAATATCTGTTCAGGTGCTTTGGCATTAAGTAAACAAAGAATTTTCTTGTTTTTATGCAAACTTTTAAAATCCATGTAGTTTTTTTAAAAAATAATAGTCATTTCCAATGAAATTTATGAATTTCTTTCCTATAAGTAGGCGATTTCTTTTTCATAAGACTAACATTTTATTTCGCCAGCTTAGAAAATGTTTGCACTGACGGAATTTTATTGTTGACCCTTTGCAGGAATTACCCTTGGTTGACAAGCACTCTCTCCCAGACCTACTCATTCCTAAGGCAACTGGCAGCTAATGACTGGCTGGTACTTCCCTCTTACACAACTAATTGAGGAGATTTAGAACTTTTGTTCCTCCTTGCAGAAAACAAAAACGTTGCTTGTGCCTCCCTTATTATCATATACAACCTATGATATTTAGGCTGAAAGCCTCAAATCAGCCAGCTCTGTGTTGTGTCCTCGCAGGTCCCAATATCAGATGTATTAATAGAAAATGCCTTTGTGGACGGCAACAATAGGGCTGCATCCCAGAGGCTGCACGATGGCCATGTGAGGGCACTGTGGGTCCACTGAGCAACCCACTGATAGCTCTGTCTGAGAGAGGGAGGGCCTAAGGGGCACAGTCTTGGCTTGGGTCCTATACCAGGGTCATCACCTGATGAGCCAGAGGTCGTGGTGGCACAAGAGGGGGCAATCATGGCCTTTTCATGTACCACATAAGTCCATATGTTTGTCAGGCAAGGAGCCCTGAACTGCAGCCTGGATGGGCAGAGCCCTCTCTGGAGCCTCCATTTAATGAGATGTGGGAAGGGGCTTCTGTGGGGTGGCCTGGATAACCTGAGCTCAGGGTGCACACAAGGGCACCTGCCTCAGAGAAAGCCCAGGGAAGCTGTGGGGGACTATATCTGCCCCATCCTGCCCTGCCTAGCTCAGCAATGCCAGCTCCCCTGCCTGTAGGAGGAAGGACAGAGAGGGAAGACCTGGCTCACTGAGAACAACCAGGGCTGCAGGTGCCTATGGGAGCCTATGGGGACAGTCACGTCACAACAGTGACATCACAGGCCAATCCTCCAGAGAAAAGGAGGTGCTAAACTTCTGCTCTGTCACCCCAGGAGCCCAGCACCCTGAGCAGGGACATGCCTGCCTCTGTCCTGCCTGACTCTGCCTGGGGCACCAGGATCCTCTGCTGTGCTGCCCTTTGTCTCCTGGGAGCAGGTGAGTTCTGAGCACAGAGGGAGTGTCCTCTGGACCCATAGGCTTTGGTGGTGGAATATCACTCTCTTCTGGGCTGAGGGTTCAGCTTTTATATGTTTCCCCCACAGGATCAGTAGATGTTGGAGTCATCCAGACCCCAAGATACCTAATCACAGAAAAGAGGGGACAGGCCACTCTCAAATGCTTCCCTGTCCCAGGACACAGCTATGTGTACTGGTACCAGCAGGCTCCACACCACCAGAGTCTCCAGTTTCTCAGTTCATATTATAAGGAGAGAGAGTATGCAAAGGGCATCATCCCCGATCGATTCTCGGCTGAGCACTTCAGTGACAACCACTCTGAAATGAACATGAGCTCTTTGGAGCTGGGGGACTCTGCCTTGTACCTCTGTGCCAGCAGTGTAGACACAACCCTGCAGAGCCACTGGTTTTCTGTACCCAAACCTTCCTGTCCCAGCTGAGGATGTGACAAGGGAGAGGGGTGGCGCTGCCACACAGCCTTAGCAAGCCTGGGATGCCAGTTCTTTTCTAACATTCCTCACTAGAGTGTGCTCAATAAGAACACTCATGTTCAGCCTGGCCCCAGGTCTGCTGGGCATCTTTACATGTCTGCCTAGTGAATGGCGGGAGCTCCTCTTCTGCGCTAGGGTGTGAGTCTACACTGTGTAATTTGCAAGGATAGATATAATTTTATCCATTTTATAAAGAGGAAGATCAAAGTGTCTTATTTATAAATTAGAGAAATACCTCATGGGACCAGCAGATGACATAATGATTACATTGCTGGATTCCCACATAGTCAAAGGAAGTTAGTGTCCTGGATCTGATGGCTTCAAAACCATGGTGGGCATGAGTGTGAGCATGCCCAAGATCCTTGGAGGAGAATGGAGGAAAGGAATGTGGCATAGTCATCTCCCTGGGGATGATTTCTCACTTTTCTTATCATTGTTTCCTCCTGTCTCTCTCTCTCTCATGAGTGCACACACCCTAAGACAAAGAACTCTTAAAAAAAAAAAAGAAAAAAGTAAAGAAAAATAGCTAGTGGACTTTTCCATTATTTCATGTTTAACAGCATCAGAACCATCATCTAAACCTAAATCTCCAGTCTCTAAAATAAGTCTGCTACAATTTTAATGTGTTCCCTTTGTCTTTGTCATGAAATGCAACAAAACTCTGTGTCTTCCATTTAAGACCAGCTGGGTAGCAGCGGGAGTTGGACTTCTGGTCGCTATGACTTAATCTCTGACAAGTATCAGGACACATAAGTTGATGTCAGAAATGATTGTCTTTTCTCAGTTCCATATAAAAGAGGCCATGATGTTTCCATAATACAAAATCTAAGTGAATAGGGGGATTCCAGCCTATCAGAGGAATTGGAAAATGAAATAGAAATGCTTTGGGTATCAGAATAAGATTTAAAGCGGGGAAATAGTGCTTATTAAACATTGTTAGATCTGAGGGAGTGAGGTTATTTGGAAGGCTAAAATTTGCCCTTAAGTCCGCCGTTGGAGCTAAAAAAATCTAAAGTTGCTGATTTTGCAAAAACTGCTAAGTGTCATAGTACCCTGGGTGTAGAACAGCCACCAACAGGGTGATTCACAAGAAAGTGTGGACAAGGCACTGCAGATTCACCTCTCTGCTGCTGTCAGATAAAATAATAATAATTGTGTTTCTATCTTTTCCACTTGTATAGCCTACTGGAAGAAAAAAAAAGCTGTTTTTAGAAACATACTATCGGGAGAACCTGAGAAATGTAGTTTCACGGCTTCTAGCCCCTGCTAAAATATGGGTATATTGGAGGACATTCAGGCTAGTCAATGCCTATAGTCAATCATTAGTACACTCAGCTACACAGTACGCAATGAAAAATAGAGTAAGCCTGGAGTTTTTCTATTATCTTGATCATGAAAATATATTGTGATTTAGCTGTAGTAGTTCAGCTATTGCTCATTTGTTAATTTATCCAACAGGTATTTCTGGAATACCAAGTGCTTTAATAATCTTCATGGGGACCAGCAGTTAGCATAATGGCTATGTTGCTGGACTCCCACATAGTCGACTGCAGTTCGCATCCCAGATCCAGAGGCTTGAAACTCACGCTGAGTACGTGTGCGTGTGTGCCCAAGATCCCAAGAGGAGAATGGAGGAGAAGGGATTGCAGTGTGGCCATCTCCCTGGGGGGTGATTTCTCGCTTTTTGTCTGTCTGTCTCTGTCTGTATGGCGAGCACACATGCCCTATAGCAAAAACCTCTAAAAAAATAATAATAATTTTCATGAAAGCAGCTAAAGGAGATTGACACAGATAAGGTTTATTATCTAATGACGAGGGTGTGTATAATAGTCTCAACTGGGCTGGACTGAGATGTAAATCATGCTGAATAAAGTCTCTTCACAATCTAAATGATGTACAAAATTTAATGTATGAAAAATCATGAAAAAAATTAAAAAAGCCATCCCTTTAAAATATTTTTATAATTTATTCTATGCATTTAATCACTATACTTCAGTTAGCTTATAAAGTAAATTTACTTCATATGATTACACTTCAGAGCACTCCAGTTGAGGATACATATACATTATCATCAGCAGATAATGCCATTTCTATGTCCCATAAATGTCTTTCCTATTTTTCTCCTTAACTACTTTAATAAGTCATCTCATCCCAGTCAAGGATTTGACCTGCTGATTTGTCAAGAAGGAAATGTGGAGAGTTCGTAAGAAAATAAGTAAGCCTGCTTAAGTTAATAAAAAGGGATAAGGATAAACCCCCAAGATGAGGTTATACAACACAGGAAGTAAACGTTTTGGACCCCAGTCTGGCTCCATGTCCAGCAATAACCTACAGGTGATAAACTCCTTACTTTCCTGAGAAACAACCACGCCCCTCCTAATCTGAACTTGAGTTTGCAGAGTTTACATTACCTCCCCCTACAATCAAAATGTTAAAAGGAGACCCTCAAATTTGAACAGAATCCTAACTTGTTTCCTGGCTTTAAATAAAGTTCCTTAGTATTTCTTTGATTTGTTAAAGCTAAAACAGATTTTCTTGAAATTAAAAATATATTAAAAAATACCTTTTTAATGACCATAGCAAGCTATATAGCATCAGCTAGGTGCTACCATACAGTATATTCATTCTACTCAGAGTTTCCCACCTGAAGTCAGACATGTATGCACTGATATGTACATACCAGCTAAACTTGCTATTGAAAGTGTTAGATTACTTAAGAAACTTTGTGAATCAATAAAATGTGGGCGGGAAAAGGAATGGAAATCAACTGTAGACACCTAAGATAGTGTGGGAGGAGGGTGGGAAATGGCAGAGGGTGAGAAATAGGGGTAAAATGGACATTTGCAGGAGGGATACAGAGGCAGAGCATTGATGGGATGGGGAGGTGTGGTGTTATCTGTTGAAGATATTTTGACCAACTGGACTGGGGAGAAATGTTCACATATTGAAATGTTCACTTTGTAAGCTAAGCAATGCGATTGAATGTATATAAATAAATAAATAAATTCTTGAAAAAAATATATATACATGTATACATATGAAACTAGGAATGGAAAATTAATGACAGTAACATGTATGATTAAGCCACTATGCAGTATATTTTGGATGGGAAACCACATTTTGTATGCTGTGACAATGCTCAGAAAATAAATGTAAATTAATTAATTTAAAATGTTTCAGAAGAAAATTACAGTGCACTTGTAACTAGATTCTAGCTTTGTCCATAGTTTTAGTTTAAGGTATTTTGTGAATCAATAAAATGTGGAAAAAAACGTAAAAAAAAATTAAATACAAAAAATGAAATAAAATTAAAAAAAATTAAAAACAAAAGGCGACCCTCCCTGCCATGAGGCACAAACCTGCATAGGTCTCAACCTGGGTACTCTTCCCTGACTCTAATAAACTTAACTTCTGCTCCAAAAAATAAACAAGTCTTAAGTCCAGGGTTAGGTGTTGACACAGTGGTAATGCAACTTAATCCACATGACACAGGTCGTGGCTTCACATCCCAGAACCTTACTGACCATGCTGGGTGATCGTATGTGTTGATGACCAGGGTCAGGTGAGACTGGGTAGATTGAGTCCAGAGACTCCATTGTGAATGCCTGTCTCTATTTCTGCTTGTTTCTTTCTAACATGTAAGAGCTTTTCAAAAACTTTAAACTCTCCTAATATGAGATAGCCCCAAATAGTCTTACATGAATTTGCAACTTATGAAACCCAATTAAATCAATCAGTTTCCTGATGGAGATTGCTGGCATACTCAGAAGAGTTGAACAGAAAAGAGTTTAATCAAAAGACTGTGTGTGTAGGCATGGAGAGGGTGAAGAATCCCAAGATACTGTTGAAGGACTAGTGTTGAAGAGACCAGGGCAGTGGGAAGTCAGTGCAACTCCTGAGCCTGAGGGAGAAGGGGGAGGTGCTGCATTACAGGAGCTCATGGGAGGTATGGGGACAGGGTGACTAAAGGGAGCTACTCGACCAAACCGGAAGTGTGGGAGATAGAAAGAGGAGTCCCAAATGCTCTGGATTCCCTTCACTACTCCTTAAACTTCAGGTCATGCTTCTCATTAGCAGAACCGCCTGCAAGCCTGGATAACCACATCTGTGGATACCAGGCTCCTGGAGCACAGCACAAGGGCAGGGAGGACAGTAAGTGGATTGGGGGGAGGGGTGACATTAGATTAACCAGCACTTTGCTATCAGATTATGACGTGACCTTTTGTAGATGTTTATTGACAAGCACAGAGTACTTTAATGCTACTCCTTTTGTGTGAACTTACGAAACAATTTCCTGATGTAGTGTTCATTATATCAAGGCCATCTACTTAAGTACACATTTTTAAATTAATCTCTTCAAAACCCTGTGAAAGACAATGATTGAACGACATACTGCACATGAGAAACACAAAGTATTGAAAGTTTAGATGATTTGCTAAAGCCCATAAGGACAACAAATAGGGAACATTGATCCAAATGTCTCCCTTTCAGAGACGATGGCTCTGGCGCATCATTTAGACAGAAGCTTTCTCCAGCGAGGGTTGATGCTGTCCACACATGAGGAGACAGTTGGTTTATATTCTGATACTGTGGGCTCAGAACTTCAAAAATGTTTGCTGATTTTCTCATTTGTAAATTGAGATCAGTAACAGGCATTTTGTGTGGGGATTTTATAGATATGAATGAAGCAATGGTTCTAACACACAGCACAGTAGAGGTTCCAGAAATTCTAGTTTCCTATTAACTCTCAAAGAAACCCCTAGTCTATCACATTATTTACTCTGTGCAGTTCTGGGATCAAAGGTAAACACTGATTGGGAACCAGCAGTTAAGAGTAATGGCTATTTCGTTGGACTCCCACGTAGTCGACCGTGGTTCGTGTCCCGGACCCGGTGGCTTAAAACTCACGCTGGGCGTGTGTGCATGCGTGCCCAAGATCCCAAGAGGAGAATGGAGGAGAAAGGGATTGCGGCGTGACCGTCCCCCCCTGGGGGGTGATTTCCCACTTTCGGTCTCTATGTGTCTCTCTCTGTCTGGCGAGCGCACACGCCCTATAGTGAAAATCTCTCCAAAAAAAAAAAAAAAAAAAGCTAAACACTGATTACTTTTGTTTGATTCACCTGTGTTCCACACAGAACCATCTGAAATGCAAATACAGAAGTCTCATAACTCATTATGTGATAGTAACAAAAAGTTGTCTCTTAATGAGTAGGAAAATGTTCCCATGACAGCACTTACTGTTTGATACCAAATCTGATACATAAGAAACAGTAGAAACCCCAGAATTCTGTAGCTTCCGAGCCATTGGTAATCACTCACAAGAGCAGGGAGGAGGTGACAGTGTGATTTGAAAAGAGATCACAAAGCAGCATCTAGTGTCTCCTGTCGCCTCCCCGTGGCCCACGTCTGATTTCAGCCTCAGCTGCAGTGCACTTGTGCACAGGGTCACACTCACCCCATGCTGATCCTGCTGCCTCAAACACACAGGGGTCTTGCTGCTTTTCCCCTGAGGTCTTCTGTGATATCCTGTGTGCCCCTTGGCCTGAACAGAAAGACAGTCGCTGGTAGCCCACGTTTTATATTCTCAAAAAAGGAAAGGTACACAGGGGGCTCTGCCCTGGACCTGAAATGGGTGTCAGGTTCCTCTTCTGTGTGGTCATTTGTCTCCTATGGGCAGGTGAGTACTGGTTACATGGGAGCTTAAGACCTCTTAGAAGCCTTTATGCTGAGGCGACATCATCAGATCATGTCACTCTCTATTGCAGGACCTGCGGATGCTGGAATCACCCAGAGCCCAAGGCACAAGGTCACAGTGAAGGGAAAGAATGTGACTCTGAGGTGCCACCAGAATGACAATCATTACTATATGTACTGGTATCGGCAAGACCTGGGACATGGACTGAGGCTGATCCATTACTCATTAGATGTTAACAGCACCACCAAAGGAGACATCCCAGATGGGTACAGAGTGTCTAGAGCAAACACAGAGGATTTCCCCCTCACTCTGGAGTCGCCTACCCCCTCGCAGACATCTGTGTACTTCTGTGCTACCAGTGACTCCACAGTGCTGCACAGCTGCCTCTTCCCTGCACACAAAGTGTCATTGGGAAGTCCACAGTTTCTCGGTGCTCATGATGGCCTGGGCCCATCCAGGCAAGAAGACCCACATGGCAGTCACAGAGACAATGTTAGACTGGGGGTCTTGAAGCATGGACGATATGACTCAGCACTGAGGTCCATTCCGGTGCCATTCAGCCTGAGTGCACAGTGTATTCATGTTGGGTAAATTCACTTTACAGGTTGTAGTAATATATAGTAATTGTATTAAAAAAAGAAATAAAATTAGATAAATACTTTCTTTTAAAAAAAGAATGCTAACACTATCAGTAGATCATACTTTATTTTAGAACAATCTTCAGAACTGTGGGATCCACATTCTTTACCTCAAACAGTCCAAGTCCTGAGCTGGAAAGCGCTCATTGCTGCCCTGCCCCAGCCATGAACAATTAACTCCTTTTCATTGAAGCTGTTGGTCTCCTGTGCTCAGTGAGTCCTGGAAATAGGTGGGAAAACCATCCTGGGCTAGTCAAGTACCAGCCACAGGCCTTTTCATTTGGACTCCATAAATCTCCCTTTTGCCTCTCTTGAGTCTATGTCCTTTTGACTGGGATATGGTTTATCCATCAAGAGTAAATAGAGGTGTTTATTCCAGGTTTGAATGACGCACACCGAGATGTGACCTGTGCCCTCCAATCCACCACATTCTTCCCTCCCCTGTATACTCCCGTACTTTGGCATCTTCCCTTTCCCATAATGCCTCCTACTATTCAACTCAAAGCATCAACCTTCATTCCCCTTTTCTCTGTTCCTGGCTGCCTTATTCAATGGGGCAACACCCTTGCAATGTCCTAGATCATGGATCTTCCATCTGTCTCTTCATCACATTGCAAGTTCTCCCTGGCTTTTATGTTCCCGACACTCTCTGTACCTTCAGTAATTTCCTCACACATTCTGGGTTGCTTTCTACTCTTAATATCTCTATTTATTTATTTTTTAAATGAGCTATTATCTGCTATTTGTCTGCACTAAACTTATGTCCAACCTTATTCCTGGATTTCCACTTTATTCCTTATGCAAAAATATATTCTAAGTGTATTTACTCTTAATTATGAAAAGAAAAACTTAAATTTTTTGAGAGGTTTTTGCTATAGGGCAGTTGCGCTTGCCAGAAAGACAGAGAGGGATGGGGAAACAGAAAGCAAGAAATTGCCCGCAGGGGTGATGGCCACGCCGCAATCCCTTCTCCATTCTCCTCTTGGGATCTTGGGCACACACACACATGTGCCCGGTGTGAGTTCTAAGCCACCGGGTCTGGGACTTGAACTGCAGTCGACTACATGAGAGTCCAGTGACACAGCCATTACACCAACTGCTGGTCCTCAAAAGGTTAAATTTTACTAAAAGAATTAAAGAAAACAGTTTTATTGGGACCAGCAGTTGGCATAATGGTTATGTCTCTAGACTCCCATGTAGTTGACCGCAGTTGGAGTCCCGGACCCAGTGGCTTTAATTCATGACTGGTGTGTGTGCATGCGTGGCCAAGATCCCAAGAGGACAGTGGATAAAAAGGAATTGCAACGTGGCCATCCCCCTTGGGGGGTGATTTCTCCCTTTCTGTCTGTCTCTCTCTGTCTTTCTGGTGAACGCACACACCCTATAGCAAAACCTCTCAAAAAAAAAAAAGAAAAAAGAAAAGAAAAGAGTTTTATTATTAGAGGAAGAATTAACTTTAGTGGAGACACAAAGTAACACAAGCTATGAATAACAGTATATATGATTTCAAGTGCTTTAAATTAAAATGTAGTACATCAAATATAACCCCCAAAAAGAAAGAAAATGCTAACCCAAAACTGAAAAAAGGCATGAAGATTCCTATGGTGAGAAGAATGAGTGACACAGACCATGTGTCACTGGCTCACTGACACTCATGGTCCCTGTAGCTCCCAGCCTCACACGTGGTTAGAGTGTTGGGAACATAGGATGAAGTTCTCAATATTAGGATGTGATAAAATGATGGAAGACAACTCTAAGTTTGGCCCTTGAAAATATCTTGAAAGTGCCAGGTGGTGATTCAAAGGAAATGCCACTGAGAGGCAGAAAGGACGAAATCACATGTCCTCTGGCAAAAATCTCTCAAAAAATGTATTTTCTAAAAAATAAAATGTGCACGTATCCCATCAAAAATTTTGCAAAATGTAACAAAAGGCTTAATGAATAAACATATCTCTTAAGTCACCAAAAAAAAAAAGAAAAAGAAAAAGAAAATGCCACTGGACCTACAGAATATGAACTGGAAAGGTCCTGGGTTCATATTCTGGGGACTCCTGAGTGCTGAGTGTGCACACACGTGCCTGTGATCTGGGTTGGTTGACCTGGAGCTGGATGGCAGCTTGAGGACCCTGTTGGAGGAGCCTGTATTTCTATCCGTCTCTATTTTATGTGTCTGTCTCTCATGGAAGACATTAATAAGAACACTAAAATAATAGCTTGTTGCAGTGTAATGGAGTCCCCAAGTATATTCATAGTTTTGTACATTAGCTGGAAGGATTCATGGGATACAAATATAGTTGTACTGGTGGCTAAGATTTATCGATCTGAGTTAACAAGTATTTAATAATACCTCAGTGGGGATACAACACAGATGGCAACTTGAGGAATCCACATGCAAGCTTCTTTCTGCTTCTTTCTTTCCAGAAGGGGACGCACAGAGCTTACTTTATACCAAAAAGCAAAAGTTCTGTGACATGTCTACAAAGTGTCTATCAATAGGATCCTTTAAAGATTCAGAGCTCAGGGCCAGTTAGTGGTATGGTGTTAAGGTTGCTGTATCCCACGTGGCTGACTCCATGAGTCTGAGAGTAAGTGGCTTGAACAAATATGCTGGGCACATGTGTGTGCATGTCCATAATCTACGAAGAGTTAGAAATGGAAGATAAGGGATTATGGTGTGGCTATTCTCCATGGTGGGGGGGATGTGCTTTCTCGCTTTTCCTCTCTTTTCCTCTTTCTCTCTCTGTATTTCCATTTGCCTAGTACATGCTCCCTCTGGCAAATTGGAAAAAAAAAATTCCAGAGCTCAAGAGGTTTTACTGGAAGCTGTTCATGCAAGCAAACTGACATATACCAAATTCCAGACTCTAGAAGGAAATCTGGCATTCGGCTTTATACTATGTGTTCTCATTCTCTCGACTCTGAGCATCCTCTGAAACTTAGTATATGTAAGGAACTAGTTACTACCTTCATTCCCAGATGACAGCAAAGTCCAGACGTGGAAGGAGGATGTTCTGAGCAAGGCAGTCGTAAGCATGCTATGTCAACTCTCTTCTGCATGGACCTCCTGCAACTCTCTTTGCCATGCCTTGGGAAACCAGGGAGCTACACACCACAGATTGCTTAATTGCAATGGAGGCAGGTCCTTAATGGTGGACGGCACTGAGGAAGGCTGCTCATGCCACCCTGGAATTATGGTCATTGGAGGTAAGACTCAGAGCTGTGCCACTGAGGTTTTAGAATTTGTTTTGTGTTATTTATTTATTTATTTATTTATTTATTTATTTATTTATTTACATTTGCATCACAGCTGTCCTGTCTAAAAGAGTTATAATCTCAAAGAAGTAATGAATTTTTGTTACACAATAAGAAAAGTAAAACCTAATAAAATGGCAGTGCTTAGACTAACTAGGCAACTTACAGAAGAGTGATCATAAATTACCCACTAAATATGGGATTAGGTTCTCACTCTAATTCAGAGTCAGAAAACTGCCAACTAAAACAATGAGTACTGAATGTTAAATTAGCACACTGGAAGAATCTCAAAGGAGTGATTCTTCTAAATATGAGTAGATATTGGACAAGCTGAAATTGTCTTATACCAATTAAATACATTATCTTTGATAATGTCCTAAAAAAAAATCAAAACCAGGTCACTACTCAGACAATGGAAAGATGTGTGTTTTGAGCTTAATGTCACACCAAAAGAAAAAATATCTATATATTAGTCATTGTCATTTACTTGTATATGTGTGATTTTTTTTAATTGCAGAAGATCTGTTCAATTTTTCATTTATTACTACAATATTTATGCTGGTATTTTCTGAAATAAGAAATTTCTCAACCCTTCTTAGGTAGGATGCCAGACCTCACATTTGTGACATTGGTGACCTGGAAGTGCAGTCAGCATGGTGAAGGCTTCATTCAGTACAGGTGCATCTTGAGGATTAAGTGAAACAAGGAGCCTTCAGAGAGTACAAAATCTTCCACTTCTGTGCTCAGGAAATGATTTTATCTGTGAATATAGGAACATGTCAGTTAGTTCAATGTCCTTTGGGGATAAAAACCCTAGCTTCCACCTTAATGAGAAATCAACCCTTACATGGGTGGGTGGGATGGTGATGCTGCAATCTCATCACCTTCAGTCTCACCTTGGGATTTTTGGCATATACACTCATGTGCCCTTCCTGATTTTCAAGCTCTTAATGGTGTGTTTTGATAAGCCACAAGCATTCCACTTTTCCTCTTTTTTATTGGCATTTTTTCTTTCATTGACCATTTTAGCAAATCTTTGTCTACTTCAAAATGATCACATTTTCTTATGTTTCTTTCTAAAGTGGTTGTATTTTCAAACTATCACACTTAGATCTGTAATACAATTGGAATTAAATCTTTGTATGTAATATGACAATGGGTCAAGTTATGTTTTCCCATATGGTTGTTCAGTATACATAATTCTATTTATTAAAGAATAATGCTTTCCTCACTACTTATAATTTTACTTTTGTTATAAATCAGTTATTGTGTATGTAAGAGTTAATTTTCTTAGCTCTGTTATGTAATATTGATATTTTTGTCAGTTCTTTCACTAATAGCTCACTGTCTTGTTTACTATGGCTTTATAAGAATTCTTAGTATCTGGTAGTCTGATTCTTCAAGGTTTCTTCCTTTACTTTTTTTTTTTTTTGAGAGATTTTTGCTGTAAGTTGTGTATACTCACAGGAAACAGAGAGAGAAAGGGAGAAATCATCCCCTTTCACCCCTATTCTCCTCCTGGAATTTTAGGCAAGCTTGTACATATGTCACATTTAAGTTTCAAGCCACAGAGTCCAGGACTCAAACTGCAGTCGATCATTTGAAAGTCCAGCAACTTAACCACCGTGCCACCTGCTGATTCCACTTTGTTCCTTTTTATCAAGACTTCTTGAACACTCTTGATACTTTATTTTACATGTTTATGAAAGATCTTCAAAATTTCATAGAAACTGTATAGTGAAAATATCCAAGAATGGTTTTAAAATATTTTTGCACCAATATAAACTTACACTTTAATTCTTAGTTTTCATAAACCTTTTGAAATCTCATACATTTTATTGTCAATTTGCCAAATTTTTCAAGAAAAATAAATGTCTCATAGAAATTACTTCCAACTAATGTATCACAAAACAAAGCTAAGAATATTGATAGATGTACTATGATATCCACCACCCAAAAGTAAAAATAGAGACTATTTGGCCTCTAATCAAGACTACCTGGCTTTCTCTATGCAAAGAAGTGGGAAAATACAACCTATACTAGGAAGACATCAATCAATTAAATCCAACTCCAAAAAGACCAACTGATAGACAAATATTAAAATAGTTACTACAAGGGAAATAGCAATTGACTGTTTTAAAAAATAATTAGAATAATAATAATAATGATGGGGAAAACAGAAAAGATATTGAATATTGAAGCGGGGAGATTAATGTCTCTGTATTGACTGACATGCATGGCATTCCCTTTTGAAAAAGCTATGTAATACACTGTAAAGTTATATGTAATCCAATGTAATATAAAGAAGATTATGATGATAAAAAAATATAGAACTACTTTTTCTTGAAAAAAAAAAGTTACTACAACTGTTGTCCATGTGCCAAATTTGTGTAGATGTGGAAATATATAAAAATATAAATTAAAAAGGAGATCAAGGGGCTAGCAGCTCTTGTGTTGGTTAAGGGTGCTGGACTCCCACATGTCCGACTGCAGTTCGAGTCCTGGACCTGGTGGCTTGCTTTCTCACTTTCTCTCTCTCCCCCACTCTGTACCTCCCTAGTCAAATTAAAATAATAAAGTTAAACAAAGTAATTCTTAAAGAAAGAAAAAAGATATCAAATCAAATTTCTTGATTTGGATAGTTTTACAAAATAAAAAATGACAATTGCAATGTGTATGCTGAAAAATACACTAGATGGAATCAATAGCTGATTAGACATTACAAAGGAAGAGATTAACACGTTTGAATATGTAAAAAAATCCAAACTCTACGATGCTTGCATTTTGTAATATGCAGCATGTTAATTATTGGATTATATCCATCGTGCTGGGCAATAGTTCTCAAAAATAGTCCTTCTGTCTACCTAAAACTTTCTACTCCTTGCCAGGAATCACCCTGTTCCCCATTCCACTCCATCCCAGACTGGGTAACTGCCATTCTGCTCTCTTTCTGTGAGTTTGACTTGTTTAGGCTCCACATATAAGGGAGGTCATGCAGTATTTGATTTTTTTTGTGCCTCACTTTTTTCACCTAGTTAATAAATTCAAGATTCATTCATGTTGTAGCAGATGACTGAATTTTATTTTGCCAAAGGCAGAATGGTATTGTGTATATATATTTTCTTTGTTCATTGACCCATTAATGGATGCTTCATTTGATTCCATACATAGGCAGTTGTGAACAACGTTACAGTTGTTAAACACAGGAACAGACATGTCCTCAAAATAGTCCCTGTGGATACATGCTCTGCAGTGGGACTGCTGGAGCAGAGGGTCATTGTGTCTTAGTTTTCTGAGAAATCTCTGGTCTCCATAAAGGCTGTACTAATTTACATAACCACCAACAGGATGCCCTTTGTCCACTATTGAGCAAACACTTGTCATCTTTCATTATTGATGTTGGAATCATTCCACCAGGTATGAGGTGAAATCTCACTGGATTTTATTATCAATTTCTTGGTTAGTGTTTTTGAGCATTTTTTTTTCTATACCTGTTGACCATGCATATGTGTTTTTTTGAAACTGTTCAGGTGCTTTGACGTTAATTAACTTTTTATGCAAAACCTTTGAAATAGATGCAGGTTTTTTTTTTTTTTTGGAATAGTCATTTCCATGAAATTTTTGAATTTCTTTCCTATAAGAAGACAACTTCCTTTTCATAAGGCTAACACTTTATTTCCCTGACTTAGAAAAGTTTTGCACTGATAGAACTTAGTTGTCAGCCCTTTGGTTGAAAACACTCTCCCAGACCTACTCATTCCAAGGGTAGGTGGCATCTAATGACTGTCTGGTACCTACTACTTACACAACTAATTGATGAGATTTGGAACTTCCATTCCTCCTTGTGGAAAAAAAAAAAGGTTATTTTGTGCTTCCTTCATTACCATATACACACTATGAGATTGAAGCTGAAAACCTCAAATCAGCCATCTCTGTGCTGTGCCCTGGCGGATCCCAGTATCTGAGATTTCTCTTTCTGTCTCTCTATGCCTCTCTGCAAGAGCCAAGCCCTATCACGAAAATCTCTCAAAAAAGATGTCTCCCTGGACAGAAACAATAGCATTGCATCCTGGAATCTGCACAACCAACCATGTGAGGGCACTGTGGATCCACTGAGCAATCTTCTAACTGAGAAGGGAGATGGAGGACTTAAGAAACAGTCTTGGTTTGGCTCCTGTTACAGGACATGACCTCATTAGACAGAGGCAGTGGTGGCACAGGAAGGGGCAGTCACAGTCTTGTCATGTCACCTGCTAAGCCCCTGTGTTTGTCAGGCAGGGAGCCCTGAACTGTAGCCTGCATGGGTAGAGGCCTCTCTGGAGCCTACATTTGATGAGGAGTGTGAAGGGCTACCACAGAGTAGCCTGGATAACCCAAGTCAGGGGTACACAAAGGGGCCTTAGAGGAAACCTAGGGAAGCTGTGGGGAACAATGTCTGCCCCAAACCTGCCCTGCCTAGCTCAGCACGACCAGCTCCCCTGCCTGGAGGAGGTGGGACAGAGAGAGGGAAGGCTTGGTCATTGAGCCTGTCCAGCTCCCCTGCCTGGAGGAGGTGGGACAGACAGAGAGAAGGCTTGGTCATTGAGCCTGTCTAGGGCTGCAGGTGCTCAGCTCCCCTGCCTGGAGGAGGTGGGACAGACAGAGAGAAGGCTTGGTCATTGAGCCTGTCTAGGGCTGCAGGTGCTTATGGGAGCCTATGGGGACATCACATCACAACAGTGACATCACAGGCCAGTTCTCTAGAGGGAAGGGAGGAGCTAAACTCCATTTCTGTCACCCCAGGAGCCCAGCACTCTGAGCAGGGACATGCCTGCCCCTGTCCTGCCTGACTCTGCCTGGGGAACCAGGATCCTCTGCTGTGCTGCCCTTTGTCTCCTGGGAGCAGGTGAGTCCTGAGCACAGAGGAGGTGTCCTCTGAGTCCACAGGCTTTGGTTGCTGCTGAATATCACATTTCTTGGGCTGGAAGTTCAGCTTCTGTGTGTTTACTCCACAGGTTCAGTGGATGTTGGAGTCATCCAGACCCCAAGATACCTAATCACAGAAAAGAGGGGACAGGCCACTCTGAAATGCTATCCCTTTCCTGGACATGACACTGTGTACTGGTACCAGCAGACTCCAGGCCAGGGTCCCCAGTTCCTCATTTCTTATTATGCAAAGATGGAGTATGGTAAAGGCAACATCCCTGACCGATTCTCAGCTGAGCAGTTCAGTGACCACCACTCTGAAATGAACATGAGCTCCTTGGAGCTGGGGGACTCAGCCTTGTACCTCTGTGCCAGCAGTATAGACACAGCCCTGCAGAGCCACTGGTTTTCTGTACCCAAACCTTCCTGTTCCAGCTGAGGATGTGATAGGGAGAGGGGAAGTGCTGCCACACAGCCTTAGCAAGCCAGGGTGCCAGTTCATTCTCACACTCCTTATTCTACTGAGCTCAACCACAACAGTTGTGATCAGTTTGTCCCAGATCTGTTGAAAAACTTTACATGTCTGCCTAGTAATGGCAGGCACTCCTTCTCTGTGCTAAAGTGTATGTCTACACTATGTAATTTGTAAGGGTACATATAATTTTATAAGATGAAAAAGATCTCAGTGTCCTATTTTATAGATTAGAAAAACAGCTCATGGACTTTTCCAATATTTCCTATTTAACAGCATCAGAGACATCATCTAAACCTGCATCTCCAGCCTCTAAAATAAGTCTGCTATAATTTTAATGTGTTCCCTCTCTCTTTGTCATGAAAATGCAGCAAAGAGCTGTGTCTTCCATTCCAGCCAGCTGGGTAGCAGTGGAAGCTGCACATCGTGGTGTCTGATTGCTATGGCTTATTGTCTGCCAAGTACCAGGACGTATAAGTGAATGTCAGAGAATGGTTGTCCTGTTCAGTTCCATATAAATGAACCCAAGATATTTCCATAATACAAATCTAAGTGAATAGGAAGATCTGCAGTGCATCAGAGAACTAAGAAAATGAAACAAAAACCCTTCAGCTATCAGAGTAAGATTTAATGAAAGGAATTAGTGCTTATTAAACATTGGAAGGTCTGGAGGATGGAGGTTCTTTGGAAAGCCAACACTTGCTCTTCAGTCCACCATTACAGATGACAAAAATCTGAAGTTGCTAATTTTGCCCAGGTCCAGAGCTGCAGAAACAGTTGAGAGTCATAGTACTCTGGGGTGTATCAGAGTAGCAACCAAGAGAGTGATTCACAAGGAAGTGTGGGCAGGGCACTGCAGGTTCACCTCTTTCTTGCTGTCAGATTTAAAAAAAAAAGTCTCTTGTTTCTATGTTTTCAACTAGTACAGCATACTGGAGGGGGGAAAAGCCATTTTTAGAAACATGTATCTCGGGAACCAGCAGTTAGCGTAATGGCTATGTCGCTGGACTCCCACATAGTCGACCGCGGTTCGTGTCCCGGAC